AGCCTATATGACATAGAACGTTGGTTACGTACTGTAACCCCAGATTCTATGAGTATAGGCATAGCCCTTTAAGCGTCGGGCCTCACTGGCTCCTAAATGGCTGAAGAAAAAGCTATTTTGGGAGCCGATTTCCCGCTCTTAACGTAATTTATACGGACCGGGTGGGGCCCACACAGCAGGTGGGCGTGGACTAAATTTTTTCAGTGCTTATGCTACGCATAACGGGATAAACCCATCAGCGACAGCCTTAAAGGGCTACGCCTATATTCATAGAATCTGGGGTTACAGTACGTAACCAACGTTTTTCGTTTTTCAGTGCGCGGCCCCGCTGAGGAGGGACAATATTTGGAGAGGAGGAGGAGACAAGGACTCCGCGCAGCACCTCTGTGCATAAATGTGACCATCTGATCCGTCCTCCCCCGCGCCCCACCCCTGCCCCCCAGCCTAGAGGCTCCTCTCCTGCTCCTCAAAGGAGCGTGTAGCTGCATGGTGTGCCATGCGTGCTGCGGCTGGAATATCCACAGACTGGGTCGACCGGACTAAGGGCAACGTCTCATCTCTTTGTATTTTTTAATAAATACTCAAAATAAACATGCTCGATGACTTTAGACTTTTAGGGGCGGAGTTGATGGAGCCGAGGAAAGAGTTGGCGGAACAGAACAGGGTCAAAATGAGAGAGTTCCCAGATCTTGTTCGGACAGGATCCGGCTCAAATTAACCACTGGGTGTAGGCCCTGCTGGTGATGATGATGAGTCAGATGAAGGTGTTTAATGAAGATAATGATTGCACAGCAAAGTAGATGACTTACAGCTTCTCCAGTCGAAAATTTTATATTGCCACAAGAATTCAAGAATTCAAGGTCCTTTCTTTGTCATACGCACCAGAAGTGGTACATGTGGTGAAAGGAAATTGTGTACACAGGGCCACAGTTACATCTAACAAAAGTATAAAATGTTAAAGAAAAACAGTAATAAGATCTAAGATATGAACTAAGAAAAACATTAACTAAAAATACACTAAGCACTAGTAGTAGAAAAACAATACGCCGAACAGCAGCATGAACATGAGTCTGTGTGAGCAGATGAGTATGAATGAACACAGCGACATGAAACAGATCAGCAGCAACATGATGTGATTTTTCACAGTGATTATCCTGGTTAGAGATTCATGAGTCTAACAGCCTCAGGGTAGAATCTGTTCCTCAGTCTAGTGGTTCTACACTTAATGCTTCTTAACTTCCTTCCTGAGGGGAGCAGGGCAAAAAGTGTGTGTGCTGGGTGAGTGGGGTCCTTCATGATGCAGGTGGCCCTCTTCTTGCATCTGGAGGTGTATATGTCTGTGATGGTGGGGAGGCTGATTCCAACAGTCTTCTGTGCAGCCTTCACCACTCTCTGCAGAGCTTTCTCTTTCTGCAGCTGTGCAGCCTCCACGCCACACGTTGATGCTGGAGCACAGGATGGTCTCGACTGCACAGCTGAAGAAGGAGGTGAGGACTGAGCTTCCCAGACCAGCTTGTCTCAGCCGTATGAGGAAGTAGAGTCTCTGATGAGTTTTCTTAATCAGGCTGGTGGTGTTATTGCCCCAGATGAGGTTGTCATTCAGGTGCCCACCCACAAATAAATAAATGTGTGAAAAAAATTGTGGAAGATATGTGTTTTTCGAGAAACTGTGAAGGTTTCCACAAACAATTGGGGTCAAAGAAAAAAATCAGCAAATGACTGAATCTTCAAACTGAACTGCGACTTTTTAGGGTTTCACCTTTAGCATGTTGCATTTATTGTTATAGGTATATATTTAATTTGACCTTATCTCCTACAGATTTGTTTTTCATTCAACCTTTATTTAGACAGGTAAATCCCATTGAGCCTCGAGGACTCATTTACAAGAGAGACCTGATTTCAACAAAGAATGATGATAACAATGGACAACAGCGACAACAATAGACAGTTATAAAAAAAGGCATACAGATGTTTTTTTTTAATAAATAAGATAAATAGACTGTACTTATATAGCGCCTTTCTATTTAATCACCATACTCAAATTGCTTTACACTACAATCTGGGCCACATTTACCCATTCATACAACACTACTAGATCTCTACAAAGCTAATTGAACAAATCATTCTAAAGAGACTAATCAGTGCTTTATCACATTCATACATTGATGGGACACACATCGGAGGCGATGAGGGGTTCAGTGTCTTGCCCATAGACACCGGCATGTGACTGCTGGTGCATTCGAACCCCCAACTCTTGCATTGGAGGACGGCTGCTCTAACCACTCAGCCACAGCCACCCCAGATGACAAAAAGAGTAACAAAAACAGCTAGATTATAAGACAAATGTAGAAAACTAAAAACAGGAACATGTCTGCATTGGTCTTGCCAGGAGTCCAACAGATTTTTAAAGCTACTTGGACAGGTCAAGGCCGAGAGCTTCAGATCTTTTTGTAAGATATTCCAGGAAACAGGAGCGGAGTAGGAGAAGGCCCTTTTGCAGTCCGTGCAGTCTGCACTGAGGGAACACTGCAGGTAATAATGTCCTGTGAGCATACGCTGTAGCTGCACTCACGCAGAGACATGTAGGAGGAGATGTATGAAGGCAGCGATTTAAAGATGAAAATGTACGAGTGGGAGAGTCTGTGTGAAGTTAATGATGTCCAGTTAACCAGTGAATACAGGGTGCAATGATGGGTACGATAATCACAGCCAGTTATGAATCTTAGTGCACCATGATAGACAGCATCCAACATCTGCAGGGTGCTTGTAGGAGCATTCATATAAATAATGTCCCCGTAATCAATGGAGGGAAGGAAAGTCACAGATATTGGGGGAGTGGTGGCGCAGAGGTTAGAAGATGGGCTTGTGATCGGAAAGTCGCAGGTTCACCTCCCGATACCGTCAATATCAAAAAGGGTGGAAAAGGTGAAACACCCACACCTCCCTCCACCCTCATTCACCCCACTCTGGGCCCCTGAGCAAGGCCCTTAACCCCCACCATCTGCTTCCTAAACAGGTCTCTCATGAAAATGAGTTATCGTGGCTCAATGAGACTACTTGGATAAATAAAAGGTAAATGAAAAAGTACAAGGTGTTTCCTAGCATTCAGAGTTAGACAGGATCTGTTTCTGAAAAAGAAACCCAGTTTAACTTTCAGTTTCTTTATTAGGTTTTTCACATGGAGCTTAAAAGAGAGATGCGAGTTGACCAAGATACCCAAATATTTATAGGAATCAACAAACTGAATGAGGACATCATTTGAGGATAAAATCGGAAGAAGAACTGCTGGGACCAACTTCCTGTTTGAAAAAAAAACATCTCTTTGGTTTTGTTGGCATTTAGGACAAGTTTGAGGCAAAACAAATCAGCCTGGATGATGATAAATGCAGATTGCAAAAGCTGGAAAGCCTTAGCAACTGTTTTAGCTCGACAATAAACAACTGTGTCATCAGCATAGAAATGTATGGATGCATCAGGGATGTTTTTACCTACTTACCTATCTAGATTGTAAAGAGGTTGTGTCCTAAGTCTGAGCCTTGAGGTACACCATTGTTGACTGTTAAATAACTGGATGAAGTACCATTATGTTGAACACATTGCCTCTGTTCTGAGAGATAGTTAGAGATCCATCCAATGGTGTGATCTGAGAAACCAATTTCTGAGAGCTTATGACTTATTTAGAGCTTATTTAAATCAAAATGCTATTCAGTTGGCATTATCCTGGTCTGTATTTAACATAAGTTAATACAGATGGAAAGAATATAAAACTGTGAACACCTTTCATGTTTCCTCTTATAATGAAAAAGAGTTGTAAAAAAAAAAGAAGGTATTTGAGCATCCCTGCCTTATTTCTACATTTTACAATCAGAAAGACATAAACTGGCTTTTATAAATTGACATCAGTTTTAGAGGGGACTCTGAAACTATTTCAGATTAATGTAAATGTATTTAACAACACCTCAGGCTTGTGTCATGAAACAAATTAATCCCTTTATTATTCCCTTCATGCTTAGTATTCGGTGATTACCACAATGGAAGCTTTTTCCTCTGTGGTATGCTGAAAGCTCACACATTCCTATCAGTACTTTCTCAGTTTACATTTCTCATTCACATATGCTCACATGCTCACAGTCACAGCAGACAACCTGCTCTCCTTCACTTTGGACGGTAGCCATGACGGTTCAGCTGGCAGAGCTCTGTGACGGTCACAGGGTTAGTCCCTGTGACAAGCCTTTTTTTAAAATGTCGTTAGTGTAACTGAGACCCCTGCCACATGCAACCCCAATATCTCAGCTATGCCCTTGTGTTAGCCAGTTCTACGTTCTGAAGAGAAGAAGAATGCTCTGTGTGGCCTTGCCCATTTGGGATGTGTGGCAAGTACTTAGTTCTCTGCGGTTTGGAAACTGTTGATCAGAAACAACAACTGTTGCACTTTGTATTAAACGAGACATTTTAGATGTGCTTTTTCTTTACCTGTCTCTTATTAGTGATAAGCAAATGTTGCAGTTTTGTCTTTAGAATGCAGGTTTGACCCAGATTGTGTCAGGAAGGGCAAAACAATTGCCAAATATTTCATATAAGTTTGCTCTCAATGGCAACCTCTGCCAAAGGGAGCAGCCAAAAGAAAAGCAACAACAGTATGCTGCAGTTTTGATATTAGTCTGAAGAGACGTATTACACCAATCACTACCTTGACTTCTAGTATGACCTCCAACAGGAGCTAGTTGTCATCACTGGTTTGCCCCTGCCAAAGCAATAAACTTAACTCTTGACCCAAAGGCCCTTGACGGTAATATTACCTTCTCCCCAGCTCTCTGCCTGACAGAGACCCACCAATGATGCAAGATGGCCAACCTCTCATCTTCCCTTTTAGGGCTCTGCTTTTGTTAGCAGGAAAGTGGGCTGTTGACTAACATGAGGTACGATGAGTGCAGTCCCTTTGTCAGTTTATCTTAACGCCCGCCGTCTGTCTCTCTCTATAGGATCAGGCGGCCAAAGACAAGGCTCTGCAGAGTATGGCCACCATGTCCTCAGCTCAGATCATCTCACCCACTGCCTTCCAGAACAAGATGGCTCTTCAGAGCCTCTCTAGACCAGCTTATCCCACTGCTGGTGGGGTGAGTCTTCCACCAGTGTTCCCTACATCATCTTACAGCACTTTTTTTTGTTGAAAAAAGCTTGCTGTTTAAAAGCTTGGCCATTGTTATAGCCATCACAGCTATTTGACATTAGCTAACACAAAATGGCTATAACTCGGTCAAATTTACAGCTAATGAGATAAGCCTTGGTGTGGTAGTAGCTGAGAGCCATTCACAACACTTATTCTGAGCTCATCATGTAAGTTTTTGTTTACCACTTTGGCAAAAAAAGAAGTAGCAGATGATACGTGTTCTTTCCAGGGATGCTATTTTCACTTTATGTTCAATTTGATTCAGTTTTCCAGTTCACCACAAAACTCATCTCAGACCACCATACAAAAAAAAAAGTCCAAATCATAAATACAATCTAGCCCAAAAAGATCCAGATTCAAATCCCATGAAAAGAGTCCTCTTATTTTTTTACGTTCTTTAGTTTTATAATGTGACAACTTTTGCGTCTTGGGAACACAGTTTGTCTGACTTTAAGATGTTTTTGACTGATGTGAAGAACATGATCAACCTCTTTTAGTTCTCCTAATTTAAAGGTGCACAAGGTCAACGTTTGGGAAAAAATATAACTTTTCTTCCTAATTGTAGAGAGCATCAAAATTCAATATTCGTTTGTTCATTTTGAGAACCCGATTAGAGATGCAAATGTAAAATATGTTGCTTTCAAATAGAGTTGAACAAAGAACAAAAACTTTTTCAAACTAAACTGTATCATCATTCTGTGTTGAGTGAGTAGCCAAAGAGAAAATCTGACCTCAGCTGTCTGACAATATTTAATTTGTGATTACTGTTGAGGTGAATTTACTTTATTTAATTAGCACTGTTTTGCTTCTTCCAGTTTTGGCATGGGACCCTTCCAGGGCAGCCAGGAGGCTATGAAGAGTAAGTAGGTTTTTAGCCCTCTTTTTTCATTAGTCATTTGTTATGTGATTAGCTTAATAATCATCAGATGGGTTTCAGTCAGGAAGAAAATTTCAGAACAAACCAAAACAAGTCAGAGCAATTAGTAAGAAAAGTTCTCAGCTGTTTGACATTCAGCATTCCACTCTGTGTCCCGCGTCCCTCGAGGTCAGGCAGTCCAATTTGTATATGAGATGGGGTCATGAGGCTGAGGTGGAGAATAACATGCCTCTCCCTCTCTCGCTTGTCTCTCCTCTCCAGCATTAAGCCCTTCTCCCAGCAGAGTTACGCCATGCAAGCGTCCGGCCCCGCCCCAATAACAGGTGGGTGCTCCTTCTCCCCTCTGCTGTGTTGACAGAACCCTGTCAAGTCAATGATGGAACAGCCCAGGTCACCATGATGGGTTTATGCAAAGCTCAGAGAATTAGCTGCAGTCTAAATGTATTTTCAATTTAAACTTGGTCACACTTGAGCGGGACAGTCACTCATTTGTGTTTTGCAGGTTATGAAAGCACAGCAGGGCTGTCTATGTCCCCTGGTGCACCCCCTTGGCAGGGCCGAAGCATCGCTAGCTCCAAGCTGCGAATGTTGGAGTTCTCAGCCTTCCTAGAGCAACCTCAGGACTCAGAGACAGTGAGTGTCCATCCACCTTTGGAGGACGATGGTATTTATTGTAGAAGTACAGAGAAAATTAGATGTTGCACACTGTGACTAACTTTTGATCACACATATCCGCTGTATTTCAGTTTACAGATGGTGACTGGGAAAGTGCAATTTGAACCAATAAGATCTTTTTTATTTGTGCTTCTAAGCAAAACTGACTGTTTTGTTGCTTTCTAATGCAGCATACACATTCCTCTGGGCTTGTTGTAGAAAATCTAACTTTTATTTCTCATATTCTTTTTTGTCCGTGAATACTACGGAACATACAGTAGATATAAAAATCAAGCATTTCTGTATTTTATGCCTTAAAAATGTCCCACTTAAAAATAATAGCCAGCAGTTTAAAAACAATAATAATACAAAATATTTTCATTGACATTGACAAGATATTGTGGTTTTACACCGACAAACTGTGTATTTTGTCGCAGAAGAAGTCATGAATAGAACTAGTAGGAAGAAAAACAGAGGCTATTTTAGGATTCTTGATAGAATTTTATAGTGTATATAATTTAATGTTTCAGTAGTAGTAGATTTAATTTAACAGATGTTTCAAATTATACAGAACTTCTTTATCAATTGGACCTGATCAGATTAGACATGTGGCTGTTTTTGTTGGCCTTTTTTCTCTCCAGTTCAACAAGCACCTGTTTGTGCATATCGGCCAGTCCAACCCCAGCTATAGTGACCCTTATCTGGAGTCGGTGGACATCAGGCAGATCTATGACAAGTTCCCGGAGAAGAAGGGGGGCCTGAAAGAGCTCTTTGACAAAGGACCACACAATGCCTTTTTTCTTGTCAAATTCTGGGTAAAACACTCCGCTTTGTTTTACATTTTTATTTTACCATCTTGTAAATTGAGTCCATTTTTATTTATTTTTAAATAATAGTTTATTGTGAATTTTCTCCGGGTACTCCGGTTTCCTCCCACAGACCAAAAACATGCATGTTAGGCTGATTGGTAACTCTAAATTGTCCCTTGGTGTGAGTGATAGAGTGAATGGTTGTTTGTCTCGTTTGTCTCTATGTGGCCCTGTGATGGACTTGCGACCCGTCCAGGGTGTACCCCGCCCCTCGCTCAGTGATTGCTGGACATGGGCACCAGCGACCCCCGTGACCCAAAATGGAATAAACGGGTAAAGATAATGGATGGATGGTTTATTGTGAATACATGCTATGCAAAGCACAATCTTTTATTTCAGTTCAGTTCATTGTCATTTCAGGTTTTCCACAGTTCATAATGTTCAGCTTAGAAATCATTCACACTTTGTGACATTCACTCATAAGAAGATAAATAGAATGTAACAGAATTAAAAAGATTAGTAAAAAAAATCAGAATAAAAGAGACATTAAACACATCAAAAAAGACAAAGATAACTTAAAAGGGAACATGGATCTGATATTCTGTGTGTTTTAAGTTTATATAATCCCTTCTAAGTCATGAGGTTGAAGTGAACACACTCTTGTTAATGTTTTGTAGCATCTGTTGGCTGTTAATGGCCCGGCGGTGTTAACCTCGGTCAGATAGCTCAAGCATCAAAATAAAGGCATTCAAGTGCAATATGGGGTCAGAATGGTTAGAATGTCATTGCTCCTTTGACCTTGCTTATTAATATGCCAACAAAATGAGCATTGCTGCACAGCTTACCTTTACCATAACCGTATTTGTCTGGTATGTGCATGTGTTACAGCAGCCTTGTGAAGAGTGGCAGGCCTGATCTTTCACTGAGAGAAATGTGATCCAAGACACCTGTTTCTGTACGAGTAGACTTAAGTCCACTCCTCATGCCCCCATGTGTTCTTATTTATAGAATCCACCATCTATCCATGACAATCACCATACACACACATTCACATGCACACATTTAAATGCACAAATTCATACACAGATGCACCCTCTCTGCTTGCTGTTAGATGCTGTGAAAATAATGCATAATGGAAAAATCAGTATTGGATTCAGGCAGATAGAGAAAGCAAAGCGTAGAAAAATCTAAGTAGATATCATAAAAACATGCATGAAGTGAGGTGGATGGTGTAATTGGACACGTGATGTTTAACATTATGTCAGTGTCTCAAGACTTACAATGAATACAAACTTGCCTTCTATTGAATGAATAAATAAGGGGCTAAAAGTTAAGAGCGTCCATGAGGGATCAGAATCAGAATAAGCTTTATTATCATTGTACTGAAATACAGTAAGATTATGTTCGTACAGTCATCCGAAAGATGGGCGGAGTGCACGTTGCTGCTGCTAAAAAGCACGGGCCCTTATTCTTTATCAGAATACTTTTAGATAGAAAAAGGGAAGAACCATGAGGATGGATAGTGGTATTACAAAAAAGATGGACACGATTTGAGACATCAAAAATTCTACCAGCAAGTACATTTATAGACACATTACATATGCCTTCGACATCAAGATGTTGAAATTTGTCCATGGGCGTTTTCAGATAGGTGTAATGAGCTGATGAGTTTATTTTTAAACACAAAACATTCACAATCATGAGTCTTTAGAGGGCAGCACGGTGGCGCAACTGGTAGAGCTGCTGCCTCTCAGCGAGCAGGTCCCTGGTTCAAACCCCGGTCCAGGGGCCTTTCTGGGTGGAGTTTGCATGTTCTCTCCGTGCATGCGTGGGTTTTCACCGGGTACTCCGGTTTCCTCCCACAGACCAAAAACATGCATGTTAGGCTGATTGGTAACTCTAAATTGTCCATAGGTGTGAGTGAGAGAGTGAATGGTTGTTTGTCTCGTTTGTCTCTATGTGGCCCTGTGATGGACTTGCGACCCGTCCAGGGTGTACCCTGCCCCTCGCACAGTGATTGCTGGACATGGGCACCGGCGACCCAAAATAGAACAAGCGGGTAAAGAAAATGGATGGATGGATGGAGTCTTTAGAGGTTGTTGTAGGTGAGATAATGTTGTTCTCTGTGTTTGCATGACGTGTTGCCTTCTAAGGAAACTACAAATTTTGTCTTCTACTTGTGCTCAGTAAACCAAACACAACAGATTTGTAATTTGACATGGTGTTAAGATGCAATTTACACTTGGAGAGGATGCTACTTGGGCTGAAACTCAGCTTCTGCGTTTGCAGATCTAAATTTTGTGATCAAAATATTGTTTTGGTATTTTTGACTAGGGGCGATTTTAGAATCTAAATCTAAGGTGCTACAGAGATAGAAATCCAATTTACATTACACAACTTATTAAACGCTTTGTACAAAAACAGTATTAACTGATCGTAACAAAAACTAAACTTGTGTAACCAGAAGTTACAATATATATCTACATAAAAACACACAAAACAAAACACAACTAACTTTAAGCATTAACCTTTAATTTGACCATTACATAATTACATACAATGTAATTTGACAGAAAATGGAGGATTTACTTGCAGTTATCTTCGTACAGATGAACATGTGGTACTTCCTGTTTATAACTGTTGTAATCAGCTGATCATGAGGCCGGCTGAAGGGCTTTATCATCTTTTACATTTTTCCAGGCTCCAATTTAGTTTGTGAAATGTATTAAACTGTATTCCACTCGCTAAACACACAGGGTAACGCTGTTTGAAGTACATGTTCTTCACTGACCATGTTTAGTCATTTTTCTGATGATTTTTCAAAAAATCCCTCTGACCGTAAAATGTTTGTAATGCAAAACAGGGGCGTTCACTTCAAGACAAATTGAGGTCACCCGATTGGTCAGCTGCTGATAAGCCTGCTGGATTGATTAACAGGTGGTGTTGAGGATCTGTCTCGTGCAAAAACAAACAAAAAAAAAATCATAGATTTTACTGGCCCGTTTAAGACTGTCATCATTTATTCCAAATTTATTCAGTATTTTGGTGTATCTAAGGTTTGAGAACTGAGTTTTCTTACAAAATCATAAGGATGATTTCTTAAATTTTCCAGGGTGCTGAGCTAAGATTTAGGGGTTTCTTCAGCAGCCCCCAAAAACAGACTAAAATTGCCGCTGTGTTCGCCCCTCATTTAGGCCTTTTTATCTCCAGATTTATTCAGACCATTCTTAGTTTCACATTATAACCTTTTGTTTTACACACAAACAACAAAGTAATAATCACCATTTAAGTTAGCAAATTTTACTCTTGTTGTAAATTTTGTAAAAGTGCCAGAAAGCACAACACAAGATTTGGTCTAAAAACATATTCTTCACTCATTTTTCAATCATTCTTATAGATGTGAGGACTTTTAGTGAGAAAAAAAGCACAATCACTTTTTTCTGACGAGTTTAAAAAACAAGACAATAAGCCTAGTTTTTAAACAGATTGTATAGTTACATTTAAGGACAGATAAAACCTAGAAAATGTGTCAATTGATTACATGTCAGAACCATACAGGCTTTAGCAACAAAATACCTTCATAGCATCATAAAACGAGTCTTTGTAATTAAAACAAGAAAAAAAAATAGTAATCATTTAGCAATAATTACTGTAAGGCTGAAGTCTTTTAAAACGTTAACACTAAAGCTCTCGTGCATCTGCTTCAGTGGGATGAAAGAAGACTTTACTTAACATAATCTTGAGTTTGAGAGAGGAGTAAAGGAGGCCATCTTTGCGAAAATAAATCATCCATCATTAAAAATGGGTGGGGGCCTCCGTGTTCAACTGTCCCCCTCTTACAATGCTGTTATTGCAAGTATCACTCAGCCCCCTGTGAATAGCAAACAGCCATCAAGGTGCTAATGATCCATCGTTAGGCTGATAGTCTTTCTTGATCATGTGAGCAGCTGGTTTTGGCTGTGTCGAGGAAAATCAACACAACTCAGACTTTTTAGCCTATTCACCTGTTCCTCTCATTGGTTCGGAGATACATGGAGACAATACACAATAATCAGTCAGAGAGATTCAAGTTAAAAAGTATTACCAACATTTATTAAAGCTTTCAGCTGAAAGGAGACCCTCTTACCCCAAACCAACAGAGATACAACAAAAACTCAAGACGCGTCTTCACTACAAGGGAGTAAAGTTAAAACAAACATATGGGGCCTTCACTGGTGTAGTCGTTATTACTCTAGTATCATTATCTATTGGGGGGAAAATGCTGGCGAGCGTCGTACAATTTTCTGGAGTGGTCGTTTTGGTCAGTTTCATCATACAGTTAAACCCCAGGTATCAGACTGATGTAAGGGAGCCGGTTTGGTGTACAGGGTTGGTCTCCCCACTGCGCAAGTTATACAGTTTGACATGTTGTGCTCTTTGCAGTTGCTTGGCAGTTGCTGCCATCCATTCCAACCACAAGTTAGAATCGGAGAACCCAGTTGCAATATGTACTAAATCAAGAGGTTTCAGATTGGAGTAATCAAAGGTGACTACTGGTCCCTTTGATTCAACCTTTTCTGCCCCTGCTATCTGTGTTTGAGAATCCTTATCATTGGTTGGTTTGTTTTTCATTAAGTTTATCCTAATGACCCTGTGGGAGTCTTTCCCTGACATTTCTACACCCAAAGTAAAGTATATGCTGCTGTCTGAGGAAAATTGATTGTCAAAGAACCCTGTATGGAGTCAATCGATTGACAACATCACCGGGTTAATTCCTTGTTCATTATCTGTCAGTTGCCCCCTTTGGAGGGAGACACAGGATAGTCCGTCCCGTAGCTTATGTGCATACGTGGCTGAGTAGTCTGGGGTCCAAAATGGGTTAGTATAGGCGATCACTGAGCTCCAGGCCAGGCACCAGGCCTCCAGTGCATGCAATTTATCCATACATCTTTTTTGGTTAAATGTCGTCACACACAAATAAAGATTATACCCTCTCCAGCTGGCCTGGTGTTCTCCACATGCTATGA